GTAATGTAACATGTTTATTAGAAGTGTTGGCGTTAAAACATCCTTAACGTGATGAAGGGGAAAGAAGTAGCTCCGAAACGCCTTAAGAAGAGTACAAGAAGTCGTTATCCATAAAACAAAGTGTCATTTATTCATGTTAAGATATCCATTGACCATTTTGATCTCAAGGACCAGGAATTTCAATTTTAAAAACATTTTTGACGTGAAAAAAAGGCTGGATCGAACACAACAGATTTGTACTCTACAACCCAGACGTTCATTATAACTGCCCCACACAAACCACAAGTGTCATGCAGAGAGAATCAAGGAATTGTATCGATTTACCGTTTTATTGCAGGTATTAGAAAAATACTCATGAATATTTCACATCCTTGATTTTATAAGCACCTTGACAGTAAAGAGCACTTTTCTCTGCTCAAAGTTGCGTTGACTGGAACGCGATTCTGTGATTAATAATTCATTGTGAGATTGGGTGATTTGCTAGAACTGTAACCGGTGTGTGACAGCATGTAGGTGTGAGGTGATGAATTGGTCCTGAGCGCCACAGTGTTTCCACAGGGAATCCCCCTGGGAGGGTACATAATTGCGGTAATAGCAGCATGAGCTGTAGAGGAAACACAGTGCAGTCATGTGTTATTGTTCTGTCCTAGAAGGTGAATCAATGGTATGCTCCAAGTGTAATTGGTAATTCTATATGATTGTCAATGTCCACATGACGATTTAAATTTGGCCAAAAGCTGATGGTGTTGGTGACGGTTGAAGGCATTTTGACGACGTTTAACAGTGGTTGATGTAATTTTGATGTGGTATTTTGGTTTGGATACTGAACATGCTGAAGTCATGTTAGTTTTGTGCTGTTTAATTTTCATACAGAAAGCACACACAAGTCAGGAGAGAGTTATGGCCCAATATACTACTCCATCTAAATCATGATGTTGGTAGCTGAGTGATACAGTCTCATATCTGTCTTGTCTATCTAGACACCCTGAGCAGGTTCAGTAGCATGAATTGCGAGTTACGTTGGTGAGTTATAACAAAATAATGCCATGAATTGTTGAATACTAAGCACGCTAAGGAGGTCAGAAACATCTGGGGAGCGGGATATTTCAAGTTGTTATTTTGGTTAGCTATTTAATTATGTTTTTTAACAAAACTATTTTGACACCAATATATATTTTTGACCAGTGTATTTTATTTACCTATATATGATTTATTGGCTTTTGTAAAACAAAAAAAATTAAATCTTTGAAAGGCATTTAGAAGTGATACACATAAGGAAGAGAATATATGGGTAAAGGGCAAATTGAAGCCAGCGAGGTGATTAGCACTGACTAGGATCACCCAGCGGGCTTCAGTTTGTGCTTTGCTATGTCCATTCTTTCACCTATCAGTGCTAATTACCCCCGGCCTCCTGTTTGCCCAGTGTCCATTACCTATTACTTATCTATGATAACTTAAGTGCTGGCTTCCATACTATCAGCACAAATTACTGTAAAGAGTTAGCTTCCCTTGTCTATTGCTAATCTCCTATCAGCGCCAATCATCTGTAGGCGTCCCTTGTCAGTTTCTACCCTTTGTTATCTAATAATTTTGTTGTCCTTACATGTACGAATATATGCTTTCTGCCTCATGGCATTCATTCACCTGATGAAGGAGTACATATATTCCGAAACGTTGTGTTCCTCATAATAAAGAAGTTGACATCCATATATTCTCTTCCTAAAAAGAATTAAAGATGCTTTGTTTGAAAAGTATGAATATTCTAATATTTAAAAAGTTGTTTGCAATTTTGATTTAAATTAATTGCAAAAATTTTTTTGGGTGGAACTTAACCTAAAGTCAAGCCTGAAATTAATATTTGTCCCTCACCCCTTCTTTTCAAACAAAATGAAAATTAAATATTTTATTCTCTCTCTACCAATTTTACGAAAATACTACTAAATTGAAGTTTAGAACCACCTAATTCTTTAATATTACTATAGTTAATCGACCCATGAAGATCCGGGGTAGGATAGCTAGGTCTTCAGCAACCCATGCTTGCTGTAACAGGCGACTATGCTTGTTGTAAGAGGCGACTAACAGGATCGTGTGGACAGGCTTGCTGACTTGGTTGATGCATGTCATTGATTCCAATTGCGTGGATCGATGTCTCATGATGTTAATCATGTGATTGTCTGGTCCAGACTCGATTATATACATTTATTTATTGCTGAGTGCGGCATTAAACAACAAACAAACCATAGTTAATCTGTTAGGTAGTCCTTTATTTCTTTTTTTTGTAGTTCCGTATTCGACGTAATAAGCATGATAAGCGCCCCGCTCTAATAAGTGCCCACGGCGATATTTGCTTATATATTGGCTAGTGAACAATCCCAGTTGGCACCCCTTCCGATGGATCAATGTACACAAGACTTATTTTTTCGGGTATAATACGCTACTCATATGTTATATGCACCCTTATTCATGGGCAATTAAATTCTGGAAAAATATATCTGCCGTAGATAAACATTTCAGGCTGTCAGCATAAACCACAAAATTAATCTTTCAACTCTGTTTTTTTTCACCAAAATAATATTCTAATAAGAGACCCCTATTTATAGTTTTGAGAGCACCCTGGGCGCTTATTACGTCGAATACGTTATATCTGTTATTGGCATGTTACATGAAACACCAGTAGTTGTCCTATTGCGGTCCCTGAGCCATCATCGCTGTTGGACCCATAGAGATCGTGCTTTGTAATATTCCACATTGTTCAGTGGATGGTATCTGACATTTATCATGTCTGGGGCAGGAATCATCTCAACGTTTAACGTGATTGTCTGCTGTCTGACTGGCTTGCAGCATCACAATATCACACATCAAGTGGACACACTGATTCATACTTGTCAAAAATCATTTCTTGGTGCAACAGTTTAACAGCTCTGTCAACATGAAAGATAAGAGGAGACAATGATCACCCTGTTAACATGATTCAATTTGATTCAGTCTGATTCAAGGATGTGGAATATCAGAATTAGCAGCTTGCCCCTGGAATATGAATTGCAAGTGATTCTGTGGTATTTGATTGGCTCACCAAGCAATTTCTTGTGTTTGTTTGTGTAAACATTTTTTATACCCCGACAAAATGTCGGACGTATATAGTTATACCAAGGTTCCGTCCGTCCCTCTGAAAACTTTGTCTGCGCGATTTCTCTTAAACTATTGAGTGGATTCATCCTGTGTCATATGGAGGGGTGCAGTCAAAAGAAAAAAATTGTTTTTATTAATTTTCCATTTTTTTATGTATTTTTCAAACCCTAACCCTATCCTAGCTATTTAATTTGTAACTACTGACACACTAGGCGGGTCAGGGGTATTAGTGAGCCATGCTCACTTTTGCACTTGTTTCTTAGGCCATGCTCACTAAGTAGACTAACACTAATAGACTTACTGTTTCTTGATTGAATGGTAATAGAGTGGGGGGCTTGTGTTGCATTATGGTGCTGAATGATGTCACTGATTGTGTAGACCCGTGAAGGTCCAGATTAGAGTAGGTCTTCAGCAACCCATGCTTGTCCTAAGAAGCGACCATGCTGGCCGTAAGAGGCGCCTAAGGGGATCGGGTGGTCTCGCTTGCTGACTTGTCATGTCATCGTATCCCAATTGCGTATATCGGTACTCATGATATCAATCACTGGATTGTGTGGTCCAGACTCGATTATTTACATACCGCTGTCATATAGCTGGAATATTAGTGGCGCACACCACAAACAAACAAACAAACTGATTGTGTATTGTTGTCTACAGTCTGTGTGCCTGATGTGGGTTTAGGTGCAGGTGGAGCTTAGGTTTAGTTGTACTTTGAGTGCTTTCAACAGACCCAGGGATTTATATAGGATATGTGCCTGTGGCAGGAACATCCGAAAAAAAAGCTTTCGTTATTTGTACAAAATTGGTAATTTTGCAAAGTCCTTATTTTATTTAATTCAACACTTTCAAAGGCATTTTATTATGAAATATTCATGATACATAAAACTGAGTATTAAATCCTTATTTCCTAAAGTTCATGATGCAATAATGATGATAATATAAAACTGTGTATGAAATCCTTCTTCGGTTTGGTCCTTATGATTATGATGACCAGAAATGTGACATTTCAATGCTGCAATTGTTTTGGCAATTAGTTTTGGACCATGTCGACATTGAAAAATATATTGGGAATCAGCATGATCAGAACACCCAGACAATCCCCTGCCCTCTCAATTCTCACCTGCCAACTACCCCCTTTTATATGTTCTGGTGCAGTGGGGTAGCCTAGTGGATAAAGCATTAGTTCATCACACCGAAGACCAAGGTTCGCTTCCCCACATGGGTTCAATGTGTGAAGCCCATTTCTGGTGTCCCCCCGCTGTGATATTGCTGGAATATTGCCAAAAAAGACCTAAAACAACGCTCGCTCACTCGCTCACTCACTCACTCACTCACTCACTCACTCACTCACTCACTCACTCACTCACTCACTCACTCACTCACTCACTCACTCACTCACTCACTCACTCACTCACTCACTCACTCCAGTTAGGTGGTTCTGACCAATCTCAATTTGTTTCAGTCAATTGCCACACTTCTAATCCGTCTTTTTTCTTCTTATGCCACAATTGTGAAGAATACTATGTGTGCTAATGTAAGTGACGTTGGATAAATGCTTTGTTGTAAATCATTTAATCACCTCTTACCACAAGCACAAGTGCTGAATGGGTCTTCAGCAATCTATGCCGGACGTATCTGTCGACCAACGGGACGGGTGGTGAGACTGGGAGGTCCCAATTGCCCAGATTGATGCTCATGTCAATCACTGGATTGCCTGGTCCAGACTCGATTATTTACACACCACCATGCCCACATGATATTGCTTATTGCAGCATTAAACAACAAACAAGCTTATGTTGTAAATCAAGAATGTCAATGAACATTGTAGACCTAAGTAAAAGCAAAACTGTATGATCTTTTCTGCGTTCTAGGTTCAACTATCGTTCAACCCACTACATGGTGACAAATGGATTCTATAACTTCCTCAACTGGTTTGATGACAGAGCGTGGTACCCACTGGGCCGTATTGTCGGAGGAACGGTGAGTACATGCTACGACATGGTACCCTCTGGGCCGTATTGTCGGAGGAACAGTAAGTACTTGCTACGACATGGTACCCTCTGGGCCGTATTGTCGGAGAAATGGTGAGTACATGCTATGACATGGTACCCTCTTGGCCGTATTGTCGGAGGAACAGTAAGTACTGGCTATGACATGGTACCCTCTGGGCCGTATTGTCGGAGGAACGGTGAGTACATGCTATGACATTGTACCCTCTGGGCCGTATTGTCCGAGGATGGTGAGTACATGCTACGACATGGTACCCTCTGGGCCGTATTGTCGGAGGAACAGTAAGTACTGGCTATGACATGGTACCCTCTGGGCCGTATTGTCCGAGGAACAGTAAGTACTGGCTACGACATGGTACCCTCTGGGCCGTATTGTCGGAGGAACAGTGAGTACATGCTACGACATGGTACCCTCTGGGCCGTATTGTCGGAGGAACAGTAAGTACTGGCTACGACATGGTACCCTCTGGGCCGTATTGTCCGAGGAATGGTGAGTACATGCTACGACATGGTACCCACTAGGCCGTATTGTCTGGGGAACGGTTAGTACTTGCTACGACCTTGTACCCTCCGGGCCGTATTGTCCGAGGACGGTGAGTCCATGCTACGACCTTGTACGCTCTTGGCCGTATTGTCCGAAGACGGTGAGTACATGCTACGACATGGTACCCTCTGGGCTGTATTGTCTAAGGAACGGTAAGTACTTGCTACGACCTTGTACCCTCTGGGCTGTATTGTCAAGGAACAGTGAGTACATGCTACAACCTTGTACTCTCTGGGCTGTATTGTCAAGGAACAGTGAGTACATGCTACGACATGGTACCCACTGGGCCGTATTGTCTAAGGAGCAGTAAGTACATGCTTCGACCTTGTACCCTATGGGAGTATATTTATTTAGACTAGTTTATGCATCCGTTGATTAAAATATGGGCCCAAGGTGCAACCTGTTATTGTCTGGTTTCCATAAGGTTTTCATGTCAACTTGCACCTGGCGCTAGTTAGATCAAGTGTATTAAATCAGACCCTGCAAACTACGATTGAAGTGTAATGTTTCTAAATCAGTATCTTATTGTGTTATTTTACAATGTAAGTATGATATTGTGTTACGAAGTACTGCCAATGTGCTTTTACAATTGATGTTGGTTTATGTTATGATGTAAATACAACTGATGTATTGTGTTAAGATGTAAGTACGACTGAAGGGTTGTATTAAGATGTAAGAACGACTGATCGGTTGTGTTAAGATGTAAGTACGACTGATCTGTTGTGTTAAGATGTAAGTACGACTGATCTGTTGTGTTATGTAAGTACGACTGATTAGTTGTGTTAAGATGTAAGTTCGACTGATTGGTTGTGTTAAGATGTAAGTACGACTGATCTGTTGTGTTATGTAAGTACGACTGATCTGTTATGTTAAGATGTAAGTACGACTGATCTGTTGTGTTAAGATGTAAGTACGACTGATCTGTTGTGTTAAGATGTAAGTACGACTGATCTGTTATGTTAAGATGTAAGTTCGACTGATTGGTTGTGTTAAGATGTAAGTACGACTGATCTGTTGTGTTATGTAAGTACGACTGATCTGTTGTGTTATGATGTAAGTACGACTGATCGGTTGTGTTAAGATGTAAGAACGACTGATCGGTTGTGTTAAGATGTAAGTACTATTGATCTGTTGTGTTAAGATGTAAGTATGACTGATCTGTTGTCTTATGTGAGTACGACTGATTGGTTGTGTTAAGATGTAAGTACGACTGATCAGTTGTGTTAAGATGTAAGTACGACTGATCTGTTATGTTAAGATGTAAGTACGACTGATCTGTTATGTTAAGATGTAAGTACGACTGATCTGTTATGTTAAGATGTAAGTACGACTGATCGGTTATGTTAAGATGTAAGTACGACTGATCTGTTGTGTTAAGATGTAAGTACGACTGATCGGTTATGTTAAGATGTAAGTACGACTGATCTGTTGTGTTAAGATGTAAGTACGACTGATCTGTTATGTTAAGATGTAAGTACGACTGAAGGGTTGTGTTAAGATGTAAGTACGACTGATCTGTTGTGTTAAGATGTAAGTACGACTGATCTGTTGTGTTAAGATGTAAGGACGACTGATCTGTTGCAGGTGTATCCCGGGCTGATGGTGACGTCAGGCTCCATATACTGGGTCCTCAATGCTCTCAACATCCCAGTCCACATCCGGGATATATGTGTGTTCCTAGCTCCGATATTTAGGTAAGTCCACACAGGCGCACCTCGGTATCCTGACTGATGAATCACCCAATTTGCAGCATCCATCAGCAGGCATTTGTCCTGAATATCCTGTAATCTTCAAGATCTACTGACATGTCCGCAGTTCAAAAGCTCTATGCATGCTAAGGCAGCTGATTGTCGTGCTATTATCCTCTTGTAGACAGTGTACAATTCTCAGTTCAATGTCATATAACTAGGATCTCTTCCCCGTGGGGACTTAGATTAGAATAGGCAGGCAGGTTTAGTTGTTACCTAACGAGCCAATGGCTCCAATATTTTCTTCAGGGAGCCAGGGGAAATAAAAGGAGCCAAGCTTCAAGAGTAATATCAGTAATGCATAATACTGTTCTTAGAACTTACATGAAGCCTATGTCAGAGTTTTGGAAATTGAATTTTAATTTCATCCATCAGTATTTGACGCCGCATCCTATTCCTATCTCTAATTCTATGCATTTACTAATGCCAGGTTGCTGTCTTGATTTTCTTTTTTCTTTTGATATTTTCATCCAAGCAGCCAAGTGTCCATTACTTCTTTGATAGGCATTTAGAAGTTGGAGTACTAAGTAAGGATAATAATTCATGGATGAACTTCTTTATTACAATTAAGAGCGATGTTTTGCTGTAGGTTCTCCACTTGCTTGATAACGGTGTTACACCGAAACGTCGCTCTTAATTGTAATAAAGAAGTTGTTCATTATCCTTACTTGGCTATTACTTAATGAATATTGGTCGGAAATTGGGACCCTGGTGTAATAAAGATGCCTGCTTGTTACAGTGGCCTTACTGCACTTGCTGTGTATTTCTTCACCAAGGAAGTCTGGAATGCTGGGGCTGGGCTGTTTGCTGCCTGCTTCATTGCCATTGGTAAGTGGGAGGGAATATCAGGATAACTTTCTGTGTCCATAGTCTGGAAGGTAATTTAAGGTACCGACGTTTACTACAATATCTGAAAAACTATCAGACCTACTCCAGTCAAAGTGAGATTATTAAACAGTCATACATAACCATCTTCCCGAGGCAAGTGAGTTAACTGACTATAAAAGTCCAGTTTCCACCCTTGCCGAACTAGGCTGGTATTATGGAGTTACATTTTGGGTGGACTAACAAGTCTATGCATAGTCCAATCAAAATCGCGCACCGAAATCGAAATCCGGTTCGTAATGTGTCATGCAGATTTCGGTCGACTGCAGGATTTGCAAAGCATGTGCATCGCTAACTCGTTGTCAACAGATATTTTCTAAATCTTTTCATGCTTTTAATCAAGGTGCTCACGTGATTTGATGCACTTCACGATGTAAGACTCGTTTTGTCACAATATAGATCTTTATTATCAATCAGATCGTCTTTACTGGGCGCCACCGTTTTGTTTGAAACAAATGCAAGTGATACGAGAGGTTGAATCTGATTGGTCAATAGGAGAGGCATAGAAAGGACATAACTCCTAATAGCCACTGGTGGCCCTACGATCGAGCCCAGGAATTCCAGCCTAGTTCGGCAAGGGTGGAAACTGGACTTTTATAGTCAGTTAACTCACTTGCCTCGGGAAGATGTACATAACTGGATATTACATTTAAAGACAATCGGTGCATGAATAAAATATCTGTCTAGCTATCGCTATATTTCATCAACAACCAGACCTGTTTGTCACTCAACCTGAAGGTTGCACGGGAATCACGCATGCACGAGTACGGTGTTAGCGTTGGGCTTCTCAGCGTGCGTGATTCCCGTGCAACCTTTCGAGTTGAGTTGATTGGTTCAACTGTGTCATATGGCCCTGTGACACAGGGGTAGCATTATGCAGATGGCTGTTACAATGAATGCTCGTTCCACCCGTGACGAACAGGTCTGGTTGTTGATGAAATATAGTGATAGCTAAATAGACAGATTTTTTATTCATGCACGGATTGTCTTTAAATGTAATATCCAGTTATGTATAGCAGCACTATTTTAATTTCTGCCTAGAATCAGGTCTACTTGACTCTCATTGAGGTGGTGACATACTTGTGTATTTGTGTTTCAGTCCCTGGTTACATAAGCCGGTCAGTGGCGGGGAGTTACGATAACGAGGGCATTGCCATTTTTGCCCTCATGTTTACGTATTTCTTATGGGTAAGTCCACGTTTTCTAATCTACTCGAGGGGGCACGGGTGGCCCAGTCGTCTAAGGCGCCTTGATTCGCTGTGCAGAGTTGCGTCCCTTGGGCACGTGAGAAACCTATGATCGTTGGTTCGAATCCCGGTTCGCCCCAATTATGTTTCTAGCTTTGTGAGCACCATACCCGTGCTCCTGGGTTTCATCGAAGTGGTAAACATCTAAGACCTGCATCACTTCAGGCTTTCCTCCCACATTAAGCTGACACGCGGGGATATAACTGGAATACTGTTAAAAGCGGCGTTAAACCAAACTCACTCACTCACTCTAATCTACTCGAACTACTTTTATGCTTGAAAATATTGAGTTTCTGTTCCTAAAGGGGTTAACCCAATCTCACTCACTCTGACGAATTCCATCTGTTTGCAGATTAAAGCCGTTAAAACAGGAACGTTATTCTGGGCCATTTGCACAGCAGTGTCTTATTTTTATATGGTAAGTAAACCGTCTTTTGCATGTTCAACAGTCAAGAACTTGCTAATATTAACCATGCCTTCTATTATCCGATTTTTGCTAAATGCTAAGAAATGGAGAATGTTTGAAATTATGAATGTTTACAAGCATTGATAATATGAGCAATTCAGGAGAAATGTTTCATGTGACGGAAAGTATGTAATAGCAACATGATCATGGTGACAGTATCTATACAAGGATGTATAGTGTCATGGTATGTATCTATTGAAGAATCTGTATTTTGTACTACTCAAAAGAAGTTATAAAACACCAAATTCTTGCAAAAATACTATTAGAAATGTTGTGATTCAGCAATACACCTGTGCATCGATATTCTCAAACGATATGATACGCAATACACACTTCAATTCAATTCGAATTTTAAGCCTGAGTCAATTCAGATTTTAATACCATACCGTTACACACCGGGAACACTTAAAACAGTAATGGAATGACTTTAATGGCAAAATGGGTCCAACCTACGTAGTACATTTCCTTTTTCCCCAGATACTCAGAAAGTTTTAAGCCTATTTAATAGTGTTTATGCCCCATGAAATATAAAAATTAGCACAAAATAGCTGCGAAGTAAGTATCATGATGCGTATCGTATTGTAAATAGATACATTTCGTATCGGTAGATAGTTGTATCGTGACATCCCTAATTACTATTATGATCCCTCATGCTGCATCAGATTAACTGTAGTAATATGAAAAAAAATCAGGTTTTCTTTAACTTCTTACAAGTCATCTATAACCAGAAGTGTTTCTCATGTTTCTTTCTATCAGTCGGGCTGGGGTGATTTGCTGTGCAGAGTTGCGTCCCTTGGGCACGCCAGAAACCTATGAATCCCGGTTTGCCCTGATTATGTTTCTAGGTTTGTGGGTTTCACCGAAGTGGTAAACGTCTGAGACCTGCATCACTTCTGGCTTTCCTCCCACATTTAGCTGACACGCCATGATATAACTGGAATATGGTTAAAAGCGGCGTTAAACCCAACTCGCTCACTATTGATCAGTCATGTTATAGTGTTTTCTCCATGCTGTATTTGGTGTGTGTTTCTTGAAACTTGGTGTTGGATGTTGCAGGTGTCAGCATGGGGCGGTTATGTTTTTATAATCAACCTCATCCCGCTCCATGTCTTCGTGCTGCTCCTGATGGGGCGGTACTCTACAAGAATATACACAGGTTGGTGGCAGGTTCCCGTATCCCATGCTTGTCCCCACATGCGGAAACTAGGGCAGACTAGGTCCCCATATCCCATACTTGTCTCCCCATGGTGAAACTAGGGCAGACTAGGTCCCCGTATCCCATGCTTGTCTCCCCATGGTGAAACTAGGGCAGACTAGGTCCCCGTATCCCATGCTTGTCTCTCCATGGTGAAACTAGGGCAGACTAGGTCCCCGTATCCCATGCTTGTCTCCCTATGGTGAAACTTGGGCAGTCTAGGTCCCCGTATCCCATGCTTGTCTCTCCATGGTGAAACTAGGGCAGACTAGGTCCCTGTATCCCATGCTTGTCCCCACATGTGGAAACTAGGGCAGACTAGGTCCCCGTATCCCATGCTTGTCTCTCCATGGTGAAACTAGGGCAGACTAGGTCCCCATATCCAATGCTTGTCTCCCTATGGTGAAACTTGGGCAGTCTAGGTCCCCGTATCCCATGCTTGTCTCTCCATGGTGAAACTTGGGCAGACTAGGTCCCCGTATCCCATGCTTGTCTCCCCATGGTGAAACTTGGGCAGACTAGGTCCCTGTATCCCATGCTTGTCCCCACATGTGGAAACTAGGGCAGACTAGCTCCCCATATCCAATGCTTGTCTCCCCATGGTGAAATTAGGGCAGACTAGGTCCCCGTATCCCATGCTTGTCTCCCCATGGTGAAACTAGTGCAGACTAGGTCCCCGTATCCCATGCTTGTCTCCCCATGGTGAAATTAGGGCAGACTAGGTCCCCGTATCCCATGCTTGTCTCCCCATGTGGAAACTAGGGCAGACTAGGTCCCCGTATCCCATGCTTGTCTCCCCATGTGGAAATTAGGGCAGACTAGGTCCCCGTATCCCATGATTGTCTCCCCATGTGGAAACTAGTGCAGACAAGGTCCCCAGTTGAGAGCTTGCTTTCATAAATGAAGTAAATTAGTTTTGACATGCTTGGGGATGCAGAAAACCCATGAGTTTTATATTTGAAGAATCAGTTTTGTAACTAAAACTGGAAAAATCCTGGACGTGGGTTACTTGAGAATTTTAACAGTTCCTTTGACTGAAACAGTTTTAGTTGAAAACGAGGGGAAATACTGCTTACTGTATTTGTCTGACTTCAGCGTGATTGTGGATGTTTTTTTCTGTTTCAGCATATTCCAGTTTTTTTATTGTGGGTCTCATCCTGTCCATGCAAGTCCCGTTTGTTGGCTTCCAGCCAATCAGAACCAGCGAGCACATGGCAGCAGCAGGTAGGGGTGGACATCCTCATATTGGCTGTATCTTAGCATCTGTGACTGAAGGACTTGGTGTCATTTGACGTATTGCAGTGAACTGACGATAGATGACACATTACAAGACCTGAAAGGGCAGGGGTATAAAGTAATACCAAGGAATTCTGTTTGTCCTTCTGATTGTGAGACCCGTGAAGATCCGGGATAGAATAGGTCTTCAGCAACCCATGCTTGCCATAAAAGGTGACTATGCTGGTCATAAGAGACGATTAACGAGATCAGGTGGTCAGGCTCGCTGACATGGTTGATGCATGTCATTGTATCCCAATTACGTAAATCGATGCACATGATGTCAATCACTGGATTGTCTGGTCCAGACTCGATTATTTACAGACCGCCGTCATATAGCTGGAATATTGCTGAGTGCGGCGTAAAACAACTAACCATCCAACATCGTGTGTGCCTCTTTCCGTCCATCCTTTCTTCTGAGGACATTTTTTTGTGTGCCTATAACTTGAAAGTTACTCCATAGCTTCTTTTCAAACTTGGTGAACACTTTCTATACCAATAGGAGGGGTGCAGTGTGAAATTTGATTTCAATATTTGGATTTTGAGAAAAAATACAGCTATTTTATTTTTCTTGACTTAGAATCTTTTTACTTCAACATTTGTGTGACCTGTAACTTGAGAACTACTTCATGGATTCTTTTCAAATTTGTGGAACGCTTTCTATACTAATAGGAGAGGTGCAGTGCAAAGTTTGATTTTGATGTGTGTATTTTCTGAAAAAATATGATTTTTTTCATGTTTTGAACTTTGTTTTGAGAGAGCTGGATAGTCATGCTAATCAGGGTGCAGGTTAAGTACATAGTGTTGAAATGCAATCGGTAATGAAATGTATTTGTTTTTGGATTGCCGCAATTTGTCAGATGTTAGAAATCAGTTGCTGCCAGATTAATCTTGTAAATATCCAACAACCGTTTTCATATTTAATGTCAGGTGATGTCAAGTCCATACTTGTTCAACTTTCAAACTGTGTTAAGAAAAGTATGCATGTTCTCCATTGGAAGCATGTTGCTAGTGCACACCCTTCTCTGTATCATTGTTGTGATTTATGAGAATAAATCGTCTTCTTCACATTGTCATTTTTACCACTTATAAACCTGTGTTGGAGCATGCATAAATCATCTATATCAGTGCTAAGCTCCCTCTGATGAGCAAAGCCCCATCTGCTTACTTGCAGGTGTTTGTGTTCCTAGTTGCAGGTGTTTGTTTTCCTACTTGCAGGTGTTTGTTTTCCTACTTGCAGGTGTTTGTTTTCCTACTTGCAGGTGTTTGTGTTCCTAGTTGCAGGTGTTTGTGTTCCTAGTTGCAGGTGTTTGTTTTCCTACTTGCAGGTGTTTGTGTTCCTAGTTGCAGGTGTTTGTGTTCCTAGTTGCAGGTGTTTGTGTTCCTAGTTGCAAGTGTTTGTGTTCCTAGTTGCAGGTGTTTGTGTTCCTTCTTGCAGGTGTTTGTGTTCCTACTTGCAGGTGTTTGTGTTCCTACTTGCAGGTGTTTGTGTTCCTACTTGCAGGTGTTTGTGTTCCTAGTTGCAGGTGTTTGTGTTCCTAGTTGCAGGTGTTTGTGTTCCTAGTTGCAGGTGTCTGTGTTCCTACTTGCAGGTGTTTGTGTTCCTACTTGCAGGTGTTTGTGTTCCTAGTTGCAGGTGTTTGTGTTCCTAGTTGCAGGTGTTTGTGTTCCTAGTTGCAGGTGTTTGTGTTCCTAGTTACAGGTGTGTGTTCCTACTTGCAGGTGTTTGTGTTCCTACTTGCAGGTGTTTGTGTTCCTACTTGCAGGTGTGTTTGTGTTGCTCAATGCCTACTCCTGCATCCGGTACCTGCAGACTATGATGACCAAGTCTGAGTTCAAGTACTTCTTTTTGTTTGCGGCGACAACTGCCGCAGGCCTGGTGTTCGTGGGGGTCGTAGGACTTACCTGGGCAGGTGAGTCTGTCTCCACTGTTGATGAACTTTACATCATGCTTACTGCTGAACAATCCCTGGTTACCCAAAGGGGAATATAATAATTATGTTATCAGTCACTGGATTGTCTGGTCCACACACAATTATTTACAGACATATAGCTATAGTATGGCATTAAACAATAAATAAATAGTATCAATTTAGGAACAGAAAAATGTAGCTTGTTTTAGTGTTCATTTGTTCTTTTGAGAGTCTTCGCTTGAATCATGTATAGTATGTATGTGTTTCAGGTTATATAGCTCCTTGGAGTGGACGGTTCTACTCACTATGGGACACTGGTTATGCCAAAATTCACATTCCTATAATTGCATCTGTGTCGGAGCATCAGCCTACGACGTGGGTGTCTTTCTTCTTTGATCTCCACATCCTGGTGTGCGCCTTCCCGGCAGGGGTGTGGTACTGCATCAAAAACATCAATGATGAGAGAGTGTTTGGTGAGTCTTACTGGATGGGATAGTCGCTGCCCGTGGGTTTCCATAGTAGAATAGATCCCCGGTATCCCATGCTTGTCTCTCCTGTTGGGATTCAAGGGTAGAATAGATCCCCGGTATCCCATGCTTGTCTCTCCTATTGGGATTCAAGGGTAGAATAGATCTCCGGTATCCCATGCTTGTCTCTCCTCTTGGGATTCAAGGGTAGAATAGATCCCCAGTGTCCCATCCCTGTCTCCCCTGTTGGGATTTCAGGGTAGAATAGATTCCTAGGATCCCATCCTTGTGTCTCCTGGGGATTCCTGGCTAGAATATATTCCCAGTGTCACATGCTTGTCTCTCTCAGGGATTCCAGGATAGAATAGTCCCCAGTATCCAATCCTTGTCGCACCTGGGGATTCCTTGGTAGAAGAGGTCCCCCTCTATGCCATGCTTGTCTGTCCTGGGGATTCCAGATTATAATAGGTCCCTAGCACCCCATGCGTGTCTCCCTTTTAGATTCAGAAAAGGTCCCCGGTACCCCTTGTTTTTCTCTCAGTATTATTCAGGGGTACAGTAGGTCCCCAGTATCCCATTCTTGTCTCCCCTGGAGATTTTTGGGTTTGGATAGGTCCCCAGTTCCCCATGCATAAAAAATCCCATTCAGCTTCTTGTCGTTTTCCAAGTTTTAATAGGCTTTCATAATTCACATGTGCTTCATATCGTTCTGATTTCTCTTCCAGTGGTGTTATACGCAATATTTGCCAGCTACTTCGCTGGCGTGATGGTGCGGTTGATGCTCACGCTCACCCCTATCGTGTGCGTCCTTGCAGCTATTGCATTCTCTAAAACATTTGAGATCTACTTGAAAGACGACACTCCCAAGTCCCACAGATCCACGTCCGAGGAGAACCAGGAGAACAAGAATGACCGGCTGTACGACAAGGTGAATGTAATTTCTGTTTCCAGAGGAACTTTACATTCAGACATGTTCTTTCACGTGTTCAATTCCCCTTGAAGATTCTAGGTTAACGTTGGTCATCAGAAACCTGTACTTGTCATACGAGACGACTAAGGGAGCGTCCATTGGGGTTGATACAGCTGGGTAAACAATGTTGATGGTTCTTAAAAAACAATATTAAAAAAATTGGCCATGCTACTAACAGACTTCGATTTCCTGATGGCTGATAATGAAATGGGCTGGACTTTTATTTGTGTGTTCTAAGCATCCGATGAAGATCGTATTTTTGATGTTTATATTTATAAGAATTGACTCCAATATATGTTTGGAATTATAAATGCATAAAAGCAGTGTGCTCACTTTGTGTAAATCCACTATACAGATTTACACAGAATAATCACCATCTCTTTTATGTTTATGCCTCCATAAATGCAAAAAATTGTAATTCCATTCTTAACAGGCCACGGGGATATAGTTGTGATATTGATGATTGCATTAAACATGTTAAACGTGATTCTCCCACAACAGAAGTAAATGTCCTCAGCCTGCATCACTTTAATCCTCTGTTAGGCAGGGTTTCCCAAATCTCTGGGTGTCATTATGTACCAGTACGATTCTTCATAGGACTGTGGTTTACCTTTATTTTCTCCTGATAAGGATGTGCTATTAGACTTGAGGATTATCTCCCTTTTGTTCAGGTCGGTAAGACTAAGAAGGTGAAGGAGGACAAGCCCAAGGATGAAGAGTCTGTCGGCATGAACATCAAGAGTGTCATCGTCATCGCGATGTTGATGATGCTGATGTTATTTGCTGTCCACTGTACGTGGGTGACCAGCAGTGCCTACTCCAGCCCCAGCATTGTGTTAGCATCATATGGACAAGGAGGGTATGTCATCTCGTTATATCCATATTGGACACCAGAACTGAACCACTACTCCAAAAAAGGCGACTATGCTTGTCGTAAGAGGCGACTTACGGGACTGCGTGGTCAGGCTCGCTGACTTGGTTGATGCATGTCATCGTATTCAAATTGCGTGGATCGATGCTCATGACGTCAATCACTGGAGTGTCTTGTCCAGACTCGATTATTTACAGACCTACGTCATATAGCTGAGTGCGGCATAAAACAACAAACCAACCAACAACTACTCAAAAAAATAAGTTAGGGACCACACAAAGGGCAGTGGGGCCGACTTGTGGTTAAAGCGTTCGCTCATCCGCCAAATGCTGTGGTTCAGTTCCCGACATGAGTACAATGTGTGAAGCCCATTTCATGTCATCTTCCTGAGGCAAGGGAGTTAACTAACTATGACAGTCCAGTTTCCACCCTTGCCGATCTATTGGCTATTACAAGTTATGTCCCTGCAAGGAGGGAAACTGGACTTTTACTGTCAGTTAACTCCCTTGCATCAGGAAGATGATTTCATGTGTCCCCACAGTGATATTGCTGGGATATTGCTAAAATTGTGTAATACCATACTCTCACTACAGACCATCCAATTCTTTCATATTACTGTAGTAAATATGTCATGCCATATACCTATGATATATGAAAGAATTAGGTGATCCTTAACCTTTTTATCATTAGTACATTTGCCATTGGTTGTCATCGTTCAGATAGATGAGGGAGTGTTTTACTCAGCATCACTCATGTCATTACAGCTATGTGATAATGATAAAGGTGAATTTATATCATTAATATAAAAGTTTCTTGCAAATGATTGATAGTGAAGGGTGTTTCAATGACACATGAAGATCCGGGCTAGAATAGGTCTTCAGCAACCCATGCTTGCCTTAAAAGGCAACTATGCTTGTCGTAAGAGGCGAATACATGAATCGAATTGTAAGGTTCCCTGACTTGGTTGATGCATGTCATCGTATCCCAATTGCATGGATGGATACCCATAATGTCAATCACAGGATTGTCTGGTCCAGACTTGATTATTTACAGACCGCCATCATATAGCTGGAATATTGCTAGTGCGGTGTTAAACAACAGACAAACAAACAATGCTGTCGCTTTCAATACTGAAAGATTCACTGACTAAACCATGTAAACAACTGAAACATTTCTCTTTATTACTGCCACTTGTATGTTTGTCAGGAGCCGCACAATTCTGGATGATTTCCGTGAAGCGTACTACTGGCTACGTCAGAACACACACGATAAGGCTCGGGTGATGTCCTGGTGGGACTACGGCTACCAGATAGCAGGCATGGGGAACAGAACCACGTTAGTGGATAACAACACATGGAATAATAGTCACATAGCCTTGGTAAGCCCTTCAGATGACTGTGGTCGATATATCTTCCCGAGGCAAGGGAGTTTACTGAGTAAAAAAGTCCAGTTTCCACCCTCTCTGAACTAGGCTGGAATTATGGAGTTGCATTTTGGCTGGACGAACATGTCTATGTATAGTCCAATCAAAATCGCATAACAAAATTGACACCAGGTTCGTAAACTGCCGTTCAGATTTCCATGATTTCGGTCGATTGCAGGATTTGCAAAGCATGTGTAATGTCAACTTGGCGTCAACAGATATTTTCCAAAGCTATTCATGCTTTTAATCAAGCTGCTCACAGGATTTGATGCACTTTGCGAAGTAAAAAAGTTTCATTACAACATAGATTTTAATTAACTTTTTGGTCTGCAGTACTTATTGGTGTCAAACATATGTTTATTTACAGTTAAATGTATGACCACCGCCATGGATGATCCACTCTCTGTGCATAATAATTATGTTGGTTCCAGGTGGGCAAAGCTATGTCGTCAAATGAAACCGCTGCCTATGACATCATGCGTAGTCTGGATGTGGATTATGTGCTTGTCATTTTTGGTGGAGTCATCGGTTACTCTGGGGACGATATCAACAAGTTCTTGTGGATGGTCAGGATCGCAGAAGGAGAGCATCCCAAAGACATAAGGGTAAGAGCTCCACAGCTGCACTGCTCCCCTGCTCCCCTGCTCTCCTCCTCCTCCTCCTCCTCTCCAGCTGCCCCTGCTCCCCCCTGTTGCCCAAGCTCTCTCCCCCCCTGCTGCCCTCTGTACCCCCTGCTACCCCCTGTTGCCCAAGCTCTCTTCCCTCCCCCGCTCCATCCCTGTTGCCCAAGCTCTCTTCCCCCCCCCCCCCCCCCCGCTCCATCCCTGTTGCCCAAGCTCTCTCTCTCCCCCCCTGCTGCCACCCTGCTCTCCCTCTTCTTCCCCCCCCCCCCCCCCCCCCAATTGCTGCCCCATGTTGCTCCCTTGCACCCCCCATGCTGTCCCTGCTTCCCCCTGATTGCCCCATGCTGCCCCTAGCTGTTGCCCCCTGTTGCCCCTCGCTAGCTGCACCCCTGATGTTCCTGCTGCACCCCTGATGATGCCTGGTCCCCATATTCTTGTAATGACAAGCAAGTTATCAGTGATCACACAGCTGCCTAGTTTCAGTTGCCTCAAAGTGTACTCAAAGTTAGATTCTGGTGTGTAGAGAAGCATGATGATAATGCTGATTAGGATCAGCCTTACACTGGAAATAAATAATTGTTTTGACATGGAAACTATTCTTTTAAAAGAAATTCCAGAATAAAGCTTGAGTGGTTGATTATATGATTAGATGATTAGATGTCTAATGGATGGGAAACCAATCATGACAGTATGTTGGTCCGATTGATAAGAAAAGATTGTATGCTTTCTACAAGATTTTAGATACCATGGTGTGCAAGTTGTTATCTTCGGAACTGCAGTAACAGACATGTGACAAACAAGTGATTGTGTTTCAGGAGTCGGACTACTTCACGCCGCAAGGAGAGTTCCGCGTGGACTCGGCCGGCTCTGCGACACTGCTCAACTGTCTCATGTACAAGTTGTCCTACTACAGATTCGGACAGCTGCAGGTGAGCTCTCTAAAGGGTCTCTGTGGGGAGGGCACCAATGGTTTCATGCATTGCTACACTTTCTTCTTTGTTTGTTGATTACCGCCGCACCCAGCAATGTTCCAGCTCTATGATGGCGGCCTGTGAAAAGATTCAGTTAGAGTTGGTATTTCTGGCATTACTATCCCCCACCACGAAGGGGAAGTGGGATATGGGAATGGGTGCCGTCCATTCGTCCGGAGCAGAACACAAAATTCATGAGAGATATCTTAACCAAACTTGGCACACAGATAGGTCTAGTGGTGAACTGCTGCCTTTTGATAATTTGGGACTTTTGAAAAAATTATTTTTCGAGTTTCCATAGCAAAGACTTTGACTGAAAATGGTGGCAGTGCTCATTTCCAGAGCAGATTTTTACACAAATGTACACAATTTCTTACCTTGCACACAAGCGGACATGTCATATTGGTGGGGGATATGAGTATTTCATGCTTGTTTATACATTGAATTGATAACACTTGATGAATAATAGATATCGCTATAAAGTATTGGTATCTCCATCAAGCATTAATAAAAAAATGATTTTTGTAGCCGATATTGTGTTATCTGTGGGTTGTCTGTTCACAGCTGGACTTCCGGACCCCTGCAGGATTTGACCGGACCCGTGGCGTTGAGATCGGGAACAAGGAGTTTGACCTGACCCACCTGGAGGAGGCGTACACTACGGAGCACTGGCTGGTGCGCATCTACAAGGTCAAGGACTTGAACAACAGGGAAATTGTCAAGAAACCACACATACCTGTGAAGAAGACTGCACGCAAGAAGAATAGGAAAGTGAGTTTATTGAATTAGAAGTCTTGATTAAAGCTCCCTTGGTTGTGTCCAATGATTGTGTAGTTGTTTAAAGCCGCACCCAGCAATAATCCAGCTATACGAAATCAGTTTGTAATAGTCAAATCTGGACAGATAATCCAGTGAGTGATATTGTGAGCATCATTCCATGCTGTTGAGGTCGATGACATGCAGTCAACCGAGTCAGCGATTCTGACCACCTGATCCATATAGTCACCCCTGACAACCAGCGGGGCGGTCGGGTAGCCTAGTGGTTAAAGCGTTTGCACGTCACGCGGAAGACCCAGGGTACAATATGTGGAGCCCATTTCTGGTGTCCCCTGCCGTGATATTGCTGGAATATTGCTAAAAGCGGCGTAAAACATAAAAATCTCTCACTCCCTACAACCAGCATTGGTTGCTGGGACCTATTCTAACACCACAGGTGTTTGGGGTATGGTGAGTTCTACTGTCTTGAGCAGTCAGTACACAGAGTTTGATTTCCAGTATATCATGTGTTCTGAAGTAAGCAACATTTCCCTGCCAAGTGTAGCAGTGCCACTGTGGACACTGCAGGTTGAAATTAGTCAGGCTTGCACCTGACAGTATGGGACATTGTAGGTTATGATTAGTCAGGCTTGTACCTGACAGTATGGGACATTGCAGGTTGAAATTAGTCAGGCTTGTACCTGACAGTATGGGACATTGTAGGTTAAAATTGGTCAGGCTTGTACCTGACAGTATGGGACATTGTAGGTTAAAATTGGTCAGGCTTGCACCTGACAGTATGGGACATTGCAGGTTAATATTGGTCAGGCTTGTACCTGACAGTATGGGACATTGCAGATTAAAATTGGTCAGACTTGTACCTGACAGTATGGGACATTGTAGGTTAATATTGGTCAGGCTTGTACCTGACAGTATGGGACATTGTAGGTTATAATTGGTCAGGCTTGTACCTGACAGTATGGGACACTGTAGGTTAATATTGGTCAGGCTTGTACCTGACAGTATGGGACATTGCAGGTTAAAATTGGTCAGACTTGTACCTGACAGTATGGGACATTGTAGGTTATAATTGGTCAGGCTTGCACCTGACAGTATGTGACATTGTAGGTTAAAATTGGTCAGGCTTGTACCTGACAGTATGGGACATTGCAGGTTAAAATTGGTCAGGCTTGTAACCTGACGACATGGATCTTGGCTTTGCTATCAGTCACTGAATTCTCAGGTCCAACTTGATTAGTTACAGAGCATTGTAATATGGCTGGAATAGTGGCAGCAAACCACGCAGATGAAGCAGGGTATGGAGTCAATCTATGGATGATGTCCGTGCCTTGCTTTTGAAACAAACTGAATTTGAGACAAGTTTCCAGTGTTGCATCTAGAACACGTTTTTGCGTAATTTAAGTGGGGCGGTCGGGTAGCCTAGTGGTTAAAGCGTTCGCTCGTCACGCCAAAGACCCGGGTTCGATTCCCGTCATGGGTACAATGTGTGAAGCCCATTTCTGGTGTCCCCCGCCGTGATATTGCTGGAATAATGCTAAAATCGGCGTAAAACCAAACTCACTCACTCACTCACTCGCTCACTCACTCACTCACTCACTCACTCACGTAATTTAAGCATGATTTACAGAATAAGAAAGTCTGTGGATCACTAAAAACACAGTTTTCTTTCATGGAACAATTATCATCAGGCAGTATGCTTATCACAGTTGCGTGAGTTTTGTTCTAGTAATATGCACATGGGACGTCTACTTTCAAAATGAATTAGGGGCGGTAGGGTAGCTGAGTGGTTAAAGTGTTCGCTCGTCACACCAAAGACCTGGGTTCAATTCCCCATGAGGATACACTGTGTGAAGTCGAATTCTGGTGTCCCCTGCCGTGATATTGCTGGAATATTGCTAAAAGCGGCGTAAAACCAAACTAACTGACTTCTATATGAATGGAAATGTGACTGACTGACTGGTATTGGGAAGGCATCGAGCTCATGACAGAATATGCCAAATATAAAAGCAAAAGTATCCATTGTTATTGTCGTTCATGAAACGTCAAGGTTGTTAAAACATTGACACATTAGCCTTTTTAAAAAGTGCAACTTACTCTTCTCAGGAAACTGCTGACGAATTTTAAGATTCTTTTGTACACGTTAACATTTGTCTCAAAATTATAAGAATTGCATTTGCTGCATTGAGAAAATGTCATTTGACATGTGGCCAGTTGCATCTTCATTAATATTTTCCACTTCCCTTGCAGACAAATAAGAAAAGACCTGGATCAATCAAGTACAAGCCCATTGTGAAAAAAGGCGTGAAGAAATCCAAGAAAACATAACTCTTCTGTTGTCTGCAGGGAGTCCATGTGGGTTATCTCCCCCTATTATGAGGGTCAAACACCACTAACGGATCAGTTTGTCATTATCAGTGGTGAAGATAATGTTATGATTGTCAGTATGGGTGTATTATATGAATGTGTGTGTATATGATGGGTGAGTGGTCTCCCTTTGGAGAATATTGCTCCAGAGTAACCTCCCTTTACATGGATCATTGTTACAGTGGCCAGATATCGAGAGAGATATTCTGGACCTGAGATTTAGTTGTGGTTGTTGAGATGTGAAAGTGCTAAGCTTATGTCCAATAGCAGTTTGATTGTAAAGGAGACCAACTCCTATGTACATTGTCATGTAGTCCTCTGTGTTAAAATTTGTGGCATTGAAAACAGTTAAAACAAATTTTAGGACCCAATTTTATGAATTTTACAGTAGTTTCCTGGTAAGATAGATGATATTTTTTTGTGAATTCTCTGCCAATGGTGCTGATATCTATTCATCTTTCATTCTAGTTTAATAACAAAATGTAACCAGCACACACACATCCTAACCTGACCATGTATCTCAAAGCCTCATGCTGCCTGCTGTTGTCTAGAAAATCATCCCGATCATGTCCAGTGCAGTCTGTCCCTCATCAGTGCTTCGGCATGGTGTCATATTCATGTCTCCTAGGGCTGGGACGAAGCTAAATTTATTACCCGGGTACCCACCCCACTATTACCTGACCCTATGCGGGTACCCACTGTAGGTCTCAAGAGACAGGTACAAAATGTCTTATTGGGTATAGTTGAATGAGCCCAGGACCAAATGTATTTAGATAAACGTATAAAATGATCTGGTCATGCATACACTGAAGTTGACTGAAGTTTTGTTTATATTCCAACATAAAAGTCAGAAATAATGGGTGCATAGTCAGAGAGAAATGCAAACATTAGTCACTTGTAGTGTAACCATATAGTTCTAGATAATTTTTGACATTAAAACAATATATCACGTGACTAACCAGGGGTCAGGGTAGTCCTGTGGAAACCCGGGTTCCTGAGTTCCTGAGTTTACCGTCCCAGCCCTATATCCTATGCCTTGAGTTGTAATCCAATGACTTCACCCACAGAGCAATAACACTATACATGGTATTGGGGCTTATTCAAGACTGTCAGCATGGTTTGATGTATCTGTGAAACTTTCATGTTTCCTTTGACGTGACATTTTCAAATCTGATATTTACATTCTATTTCATAATTCAAGGTATTTCTATCTCTGCAACACTGTAAGCCGTGTTTGAAACTCAATGATCAATCTGGTGGAGCCGTATCTGGTGACGTGGGAAAAAACATTTTACTTAAATTTATTTTTTGAGGTCAGTACAGACCTTTTGTGATGGCAATTGTATGAAGCTTGAACCTAACAATAACCCTTGTAACTTGAATTAATTTCCACCAAGTCAAAAATACCTGGTTGTGCCATTGATGCAACATTTGAGCTAAAACAATGCACTATCTGTTGACTTGTCCCACCCCCATTCACACTAGGGCTGGGTATCGCCGCCTTGTATCTTGCGGTATGATTCGTATCACAATTGACGATACTACTGGTATCACGATACACCACATCAAATAGTAAGAAATGAAGTCATTAAAAAATACAGCTCTAAAACATCTTTCTTCATACATTTATTTATTGTTATCTCAAAAACTTTCACAAAGAAAACCACAAGAAGAAAACAGTTTAAAATGAAGGGATGGTTATTAAATGTAACAGTTAGTTGGCGTTTCCTCAGCTACCATGACCTCATGTTCTACCATGTTTACAGGTGGCGCTGTGCTACTTCTGCTATTATGGGAGATAACTCTATTAGTTCCTGCGTTCTCTTTATGGTGTATCGCGATCTCACAAACTGACGATTCAAGTATCGCGAGTAACTTAGTATCGGTGAATTGTTACAGCCCTAATGAACACAGTGTTGACATTCAACTTACCAACTTTAGGCTTAAAAATATAGAAGAAATGGTTCTCAGGCAATGACTTAATATATTGGTGCGTGCGGTGTTTTTTTGGGGTTCCAACTGGGAAAGGGCCTAACTACATAAACAAGCATACAAACTCCCATTGCCGCCATGACCATAACAGAGATGCTCAGTAAAGCACTGCACATGTAAAGGGAAGTAACTGTGTGCTATATGGGATCTCTTTGTTTTTAAGATATGATTTTTTGATTTTTTTAGAAGATGGAAATGTAAACGAAACGTGCAGTGGACTTTTTGATGATGTGGGCTGTACCTGAGAACCAAGACTATTATTTTTTTTAGCCTTACACCTGCATTTTCCACTCTGTACTTGTCAAGGAGGTGATGTTTTTGTTGTCATTATTGGTGTGCAATAATTACATTGAAATATTGAACTGATATTTCATCTCAAATTGCATTTGGATGGAAGTAAGAACTTAGATACTGGCGACATTCCGTACATGCTTATGACATGTTAAATAAATTTGAAATGTGTTCCATGCAGGAGGAAGTTGAGCCTCCCCATGATATAACTGAAATACCTACACCAATATACAGTAATGCAGCTATTGTGAATATGGAAGAGCAAATAATGTTTGTGTTCATGGATTCTGTTTACTCTCACAAGGTGTTATTTATTGGCTTTCTTACGGTACCTGGCTGAAGCACTGATTTCACCCAAGACACTAATTACACCTAATTCATGGATGTCAACTTCGTTATTGTGACATCCATAAATTCTCTTCCATATGGATATCACTTCTAAATGCCATTCGAAGACTAATCACACCATTACTAGACACATGCCTATTGGGCAGTCTAAAGTCTGCCAGCTCCATTGAAAAGTTCTTCCAAATCCAGTCAGTTATGACTCCTTGTCATGGTAGCCACAAATCTCAGGTTGGCAAATAGGTTCTTCTGCAGGCAGTTTGATTTTTTCTTGTGAATGTTTTTTTTATTGTGTTAAAAACTTTTTTTCAATATGTTGGTGTCCTATAGGCAGAATAGATGGACAAGCTCGATCTGTATGTTTCACAGGAAGTAGTCACCTTGTGGTTTCTTTGTGTTTATATACTACTCAAATTTGCTAAGGGTCACTATTTGGATCTTTAGCAAATGTTGTGTAGTGTATGTAGCACAAGACCATATCGGTAACAGACTTATTACCGCTAAAATCAGACTTACTAAGTTATGGGATGTGTGTTGAAATCAACTTCTAACTATGGTCAAGCATTTGGTTTCTTAATTTTTTCATTTCTGTAAAAATCATTCCATAAAATCCATACTTAGAACCTCATTGAACCTTCATCCTTCACCAGGGTAGATTCAGTTGAAACTTGCACTCCTAAAGTCAAGTTATGTCCGCATGGTGAGCACAAACCCTGATCAACATGGATACAGGAATCTAGTTTTAATACTGTTGTTGCTCACACCCTGACAACCTGAAAAGTGTTGAGTCCTCATGGTGTCATAAGTGGGCGCAGGTGGCCCAGTAGTCTAAGGCGCTGCAATTTCGCTGTGCAGAGTTGTCCCTTGGGCACGCCAGAAACCTATGATTGTTGGTTCGAATCTCGGTTCGCCTCGATTATGTTTCTAGGTTTGTCAGCACCATACCCGTGCTCGTGGGTTTCACCGAAGTGGTAAATGTCTGAGACCTGCATCACTTCGGGCTTTCTTCCAACATTAAGCCGACACGCCGCTATATAACTGGAATACTGTTAAAAGCGGCGTTAAACCAAACTCACTCACTCACTCACTCATGGTCTTATAGCTCTTGCCATAAAACAGGGAACCACTGTCCCCTGAGGGGTTGCTGTGGCCTCTTGATAATGTGTCCTCTCAGTGGAGGGACATGAGTGGCCAAGTTGTCTGAGTGACAATCACTGGGATTGTATGTCTTTGCAGGAATATTATCCTCTAATCGATGGACATCATGTCCCTTGTCATGTCATGTCATGTTCATGTGCCCAGCAGCTTATGATCCTGGGTGGGACCAAAGTTGGAACTTTGTTTGCTGATTAGCTCTGCACTGGGAAATATTCCAGCTATATGACAGTGGTCTGTAAATAATTGTCTGCACCAGACAATCCAGTGGTTGACATCATGATCATCAATCTACACAATTGGGATATGATCACCTGTGACATATGCTGCTTTGACTTCACCAACGTTGAGCCAGTTCGCCCGTACCTACATAATGAAGTACTGTTAAAGATTGCTTTCTCACACTGTGCCACTTGGTGAGTGGAGTGGATCTCCATTTCAAGCTGAGAGCTATGGGTCGGACACATTTCAACCGAATAAAATCAAAAGCATCACCATTGTTGTTCCTACAGTGCTGACAGGGTGCTGTATTGGTTTCACTCATGAAACTTAGAACCTTTCATAACTAAATTCCTGATGAAGTTGTACATTGATTTAGTTCCTTTGCTCCATTTTCTAGTCACTAGGCATGTATCTGTCCTGTCCTGTCCTTTCTCTCTCAAACTGAGGCTGATAGGGATGTAACGATTCACTGATTCAACGTTCTTGCATTCCGATACTCATCAATGTATTCAGTAAGAAACAATACAGGTGTGTCTAAGGTTAACTTGTAAATGAGCATGGATATTTTTTGTAAAATACTTCTGCTGGCATATACAAAAGGTCCAAAGCTGCTGTTACGTCTCACATCTACGTAGGCTTATGTTCATTGTGTGTGATGATGGAATTCGTCTCTGTAACAAAGGTGTCAAAATCCATTGTATCAGGTAGGGATAGGACATCTCAACCTTACCATCGAGATTTGTGTCGCATCACAACCTTATCACCAAGATGTGTCCCATTGCAAACTTACCATCAAGATGATATTGCAACCTTACTATCAAGATACGTATCGTGCCGCCCTTACTATTGAAATATGTATCGCATGGCCAGTTGGCAACCGTACTATTGAGATATTTACCGCATGGCAACCTTACTATCAAGATCATATCGCAACCTTACCATCAAGGTATGTTTCATATCGTCCTCACTATCGGGGTATGTATCACATAGCAACGAAGTGAATCGTTACAGTCCTTTGATTAGAATCCCTTTCCTAGGCAAACTTTAAGATGTAGATTGAATGAAAGACGTTCTCAGATCATGCCAGGGCTAGCACTTTAATGTCTGTTATTTTAGCATGTTGCTAATTACAAATTGTTTGTTTTGAATGATTGTTGCTAGGTGTTGATGACTTGTCATGTACATGTTGACTATGGATAACTGTATATTTGTGGGATAATTTTATGCATATAAAACCCAATGAAAAAATAAACTGTAAATGTGTATGTCCTGTTTTGGTTGTTTTTAAAAGCAGAATCTTGACTTTATCTCGGGTTCCAGACCAGATTGCTGTGGATGTTGTCAGGCTATACATTTCATCCAATCTTGGTGTTGGACTTGAGTGTACCTGATGTTGGACTTGAGTGTACCTGATGTTGGACTTGAGTGTACTTGATGTAGGACTTGAGTGTACTTGATGTAGGACTTGAGTGTACCTGATGTTGGACTTGAGTGTACCTGATGTTGGACTTGAGTGTACCTGATGTTGGACTTGAGTGTACTTGATGTTGGACTTGAGTTTACTTGATGTAGGACTTGAGTGTACTTGATGTAGGACTTGAGTGTACCTGATGTTGGACTTGAGTGTACCTGATGTTGGACTTGAGTGTACCTTGATGTAGGACTTGAGTGTACTTGATGTAGGACTTGAGTGTACCTGATGTTGGACTTGAGTGTACCTGATGTTGGACTTGAGTGTACCTGATGTTGGACTTGAGTGTACTTGATGTTGGACTTGAGTGTACCTGATGTTGGACTTGAGTGTACCTGATGTTGGACTTGAGTGTACCTGATGTTGGACTTGAGTGTACTGAAGATATAATGGAGTTAATGTACTACACACAAGAAGTTAAGGACCACCTGATTCTTTCATATTACTATAGTTAATGTGTCATGTCTGTCATGTGACAGGTTGTCTGTATTTATATGAAAGGGGCGGTCGGGTAGCCTAGTGGTTAAAGTGTTCGCTCGTCACGGCAAAGACACGGGTTCGATTCCCAACATGGGTACAATGTTTGAAGCCCATTTCTGGTGTCCCCCACCGTGATATTGTTGGAATATTGCTAAAAGCGGTGTTAAACCATACTCACTCACATACTAGTTATATGAAAGAATTGGATGGTCCTTAACATGACAGATGAACTCTAGTAAATGAAAATGTTCTTTCACTTCATTTGGGAAGCAAATATGAAGTTATCTCTTCAGAGTATTGTCAAGAGGTTGAAATATGGAAAAGGAAAATTGCTTGAGTGTTTATGTTGATTACAATATTGTCATGAGTTTTTAAGAAAAATATAATTTCCGCTCATGAACCTTTTGGTGGAGATAATGGCTCTGTAGATCAAGTAATCAAAAAACAAACATTGCCTGTATATTTGCTTGAGTGAGTGAGTGAGTTGGGTTTAATGCCGCTTTTAACAGTATTCCAGTTATATAACGGTGTGTCAGCTTAATGTGGGAGGAAACGTGGAAAAGTGATGCAGGTCACCGACGTTTACCACTTCGGTGAAACCTACGAGCACGGGTATGGTGCCGACAAACCTAGAAACATAATCGTGGTGAACTGGGATTCGAACCCACAATCATAGGTTTCTGGCGTGTCCAAGGGACGCAACTCTGCAAAGCGAATCGCAGCGCCTGAGACGACTGGGCCACCCGTGCCCCTTGTATATTTGCCTGTGGTTACCTTTTTTAACCAGACAAGCAAGTAAGGTCCTTAACCAGGGCCCTGTTCCACAGTAGCGCATAGATGATGGTAACTCCCATACTTTAACATGGACTTACGACAGTCCTCTACAATTGCCTTGTGTTCCCAGGACGAGAGATATTTGTACGAGACGAACAAATGATGGCCCTCAGCGAGGTGAACAGATGTGTTTGCCAGAGAATCAAATAAGGCCGTTAGCAGTTGTATGCATAGTACAACCAGCTCTGAGAGTACAATGCGTACAAGCGTTGCAAGAGAGTGATTGTTTCATATATTTATATATTTAATTTGGAGCAAGTTGGGAATAGTTTTCCAGGACTTGATTGATAGATTGATAGACTTGACCTGAGCAGCTGGTCAAAGAGGCCATTGAAGTTAGCCAGCTTCAAATAAACAAACTTAAGCAGTGTATGGTATCTCATTTTGTTACTTCTGTTATGTTTGCTGTTCTCGTATTTGGTAACATTGAAGTTATTGTCTTCACAGTTTTGTTTATCGTGCATGTGACCGTGAATACCACTCACAGCTTGCATTCAACATCTTTTATTTTACTTTGGACGATGAAGTGTTACTGATCATGGGAATTTTGTACTGGCGACAGTACCCAATGCATGTCTCCTATTCCATGCGAGTATTCCAGGGCTTAATGTCTCCATGTAGGCATTCCAGGGCTGAATGTCTCCATGTAGGCATTCCAGGGCTGAATCTCTCCATGTAGGCATTCCAGGGCTGAATCTCTCCATGTGGGTATTCCAAGGCAGAATGTCCCCATGTGGGTATTCCAGGGCTGAATGTCTCCATGTGGGTATTCCAGGGCTGAATCTTTCCATGTGGGTATTCCAGGGCTGAATGTCCCCATGTGGGTATTCAAGGGCTGAATGTCTCCATGTAGGTATTCCAGGGCTTAATGTCTCCATGTGGGTATTCCAGGGCTGAATCTCTCCATGTGGGTATTCCAGGGCTGAATGTCTCCATGTGGGTATTCCAAGGCAGAATGTCCCCATGTGGGTATTCCAGGGCTGAATCTCTCCATGTGGGTATTCCAGGGCTGAATCTCTCCATGTGGGTATTCCAGGGCTGAATCTCTCCATGTGGGTATTCCAGGGCTGAATCTCTCCATGTGGGCATTCCAGGGCTGAATCTCTCCATGTGGGTATTCCAGGGCTGAATGTCTCCATGTGGGTATTCCAGGGCTGAATCTCTCCATGTGGGTATTCCAGGGCTGAATCTCTCCATGTGGGCATTCCAGGGCTGAATCTCTCCATGTGGGTATTCCAGGGCTAAATGTCTCCATGTGGGTATTCCAAGGCTGAATCTCTCCATGTGGGTATTCCAGGGCTGAATCTCTCCATGTGGGTATTCCAAGGCTGAATGTCTCCATGTGGGTATTTCAGGGCTGAATGTCTCCATGTGGGTATTCCAGGGCTGAATGTCTCCATGTGGGCATTCCAGGGCTGAATCTCTCCATGTGGGTATTCCAGGGCTGAATCTCTCCATGTGGGTATTCCAGGGCTGAATGTCCCCATGTTGGTTTTCAAGGGCAGAATGTCTCCATGTAGGTTTTCAAGGGCTGAATGTCTCCATGTAGGTATTCCAAGGCTGAATGTCCCCATGTAGGTATTCCAGGGCTAAATGTCTCCATGTGGGTATTCCAAGGCTGAATGTCTCCATGTGGGTATTCAAGGGCTGAATGTCTCCATGTAGGTATTCCAGGGCTGAATGTCTCCATGTGGGTATTACAGGGCTGAATGTCTCCATGTGGGAATTCCAGGGCTGAATGTCTCCATGTAGTTATTCCAGGGCTGAATGTCTCCATGTGGGTATTCCAAGGCTGAATGTCCCCATGTAGGTATTCCAGGGCTGAATGTCTCCATGTGGGTATTCCAAGGCTGAATCTCTCCATGTGGGTATTCAAGGGCTGAATCTCTCCATGTGGGCATTCCAGGGCTGAATCTCTCCATGTAGGCATTCCAGGGCTGAATCTCTCCATGTAGGCATTCCAGGGCTGAATCCCTCCATGTGGGTATTCCAGGGCTGAATGTCTCAATGTGGGTATTCCAGGGCTGAATGTCTCCATGTGGGTATTCCAGGGCTGAATGTCTCCATGTGGGAATTCCAGGGCTGAATGTCTCCATGTAGGTATTCCAAGGCTGAATGTCTCCATGTGGGTATTCCAGGGCTGAATCTCTCCATGTGGGTATTCCAGGGCTGAATGTCTCCATGTGGGAATTCCAGGGCTGAATGTCTCCATGTAAGTATTCCAGGGCTGAATGTCTCCATGTGGGTATTCCAAGGCTGAATGTCCCCATGTAGGTATTCCAGGGCTGAATGTCTCCATGTGGGTATTCCAAGGCTGAATGTCTCCATGTGGGTATTCAAGGGCTGAATCTCTCCATGTGGGCATTCCAGGGCTGAATCTCTCCATGTAGGCATTCCAGGGCTGAATCCCTCCATGTGGGTATTCCAAGGCAGAATGTCCCCATGTGGGTATTCCAGGGCTGAATGTCTCCATGTGGGTATTCCAGGGCTGAATCTCTCCATGTGGGTATTCCAGGGCTGAATGTCTCCATGTAGGTACTCGTGGGCAGAATGTCCCCATGTGGGTATTCCAGGGCTGAATCTCTCCATGTGGGTATTCCAGGGCTGAATGTCTCCATGTAGGTACTCGTGGGCTGAATGTCTCCATGTGGGAATTCCAGGGCTGAATGTCTCCATGTAGGTATTCCAAGGCTGAATGTCTCCATGTGGGTATTCCAGGGCTGAATCTCTCCATGTGGGTATTCCAGGGCTGAATGTCTCCATGTGGGTATTCCAGGGCTGAATCTCTCAATGTGGGTATTCCAAGGCTGAATCTCTCCATGTGGGTATTCAAGGGCTGAATCTCTCCATGTGGGCATTCCAGGGCTGAATCTCTCCATGTAGGCATTCCAGGGCTGAATCCCTCCATGTGGGTATTCCAAGGCTGAATGTCTCCATGTGGGTATTCCAGGGCTGAATCTCTCCATGTGGGTATTCCAGGGCTGAATGTCTCCATGTAGGTACTCGTTGGCAGAATGTCCCCATGTGGGTATTCCAGGGCTGAATGTCTCCATGTAGGTATTCCAGGGCAGAATGTCCCCATGTAGGTATCCCAGGGCTGAATGTCTCCATGTGGGTATTTCAGGGCTGAATCTCTCCATGTAGGAATTCAGGGGGCAGAATGTCCCCATGTAGGTATTCCAGGGCTGAATGTCTCCATGTGGGTATTCCAGGGAGACTGTCTCCAAGTGGGTATTCCAGGGCTGAATGTCCCCATGTGGGTATTCAAGGGCTGAATGTCTCCATGTAGGTATTCCAGGGCTGAATGTTTCCATGTAGGTACTCCAGGGCTGAATGTCCCCATGCGGGTATTCCAGGGCTGAATGTCTCCATATAGATATTCCAGGGCTGAATGTCCTCATGTAGGTATTCCATAGAAGGGTGTCCCCATGTGGGTATTCTAGAGCAGGACGTCTCCATGTAGAGATTTCAGAATAGGATGTCTCCATGTAGGGAATATTTAACTAAATTGAGAGTTCAACTGACATGGCGCAGTGTTAGATCCGTGTTAGAATAGGTCTTCAGCAACCCATGCTTGTCCTTAGAGACGACTTTTCTTGTAAAATTCAACTAACGGGATCGGGTGGTCAGACTTTTTGACTTAGTTGATACATGTGCACGGGTCGATGCTCTCAATAACAATCACTGGATAATCTGGTCCAGTCTCGATTATTTACGGACCTCCTTCATATAGCTGGAAGACTGATTAAACAAACAAACAAAACACAACCATCTTTTCTGCACATAATATCTGTTTATCTTTACTGGATTCAGATAAGCTCCAAATGTTGGAACACGTTTATACGATTGTGCACTGGACATTTACGCTCAAATATTCCAGTACTGAACAACTGACTTCAATATTGTTTTTGCTTTTATGGAGGTGCAATGACAGGGCATCAGTTGACTACTTTTGCACCTGTCGCGAATATCAACCAGGGGTTTGTCAGACCGAATTATACATACCGCCATCTTATGGCTGGAATATTGCGGGGAGCAGCGCTAAACCACAAACAAACAAACCAAACAGGCCGCCGTCTTGTTGCTGGAATATTGATTGCAGTGTTACCTAACAAAACATCAAACAAAATCATACCTCAATTCAGAAACGGTTTATTTCTTTGGTATTGAAATATCATAATTTAGAGTTTCGAAACTATGATATTATGTCACATTGCATCAAATAAAAAATTCTGCCTATTGAAAAATACAATTATTAGTTGACTCAAAAAGATGTTAGAAAGCACGGCGATATCAGTGGTATTATAAACAATTTATGCTGTCAGGGTCCTCATAACGTCACTTATACGCATACGATTTAGGTCTAACCACAGTATAAGCAAATATATCCAGGGCATATAAAGGCATAAATCACATGTTTATATATATAAGTGACACTATGATGAACCCTGGGCAGAGAGAAATAGATATTTGTTTTTGTTCCTGTGAATCTAGTCCCACAACATATATATAATAATATATCAACATATGCTTCGAACAGTTTGTTTAAATATAATACAATGTGAAAATAAAAATATTTGAAGGAAAATATAATAATGCATTTTGGCTTACTCGCCAAGAAAATAAGGCAGTCAACTGCAGCGTAGAGTATTTCTGAGTAAGTGCAAGGAACATTCTATATGATAGGTTGCAGTGTAAGATGTAAGGAGTGTGTGTTGGATTTGAAAACCGCTTTTAAAATCATTTCATTTATATCGCGGCGTTTGAGTGTTATGTTGGAGGAAAGCCCGAAGTAATGCAGGTCTCAGGTGCCTACCACTTTGGTGAAACCCACAAGCCGGGATTCGAATCCACGACGGTTTCAAGCACGCCTAAGGGACGCAACTCTGCATAGATAATTGTGGCGCCTTAGTCGATGGGGACACGCAGAGACAGAGACACAGACACACACACAGACACACGCAAACACACAGACAGACACACACACACACACGCACACACACATACACCTCACAAGCGTTGTGTTGTGATGTGAATATGTTGACGATGAGGAAGGCAATGAGAGCTCCTACCAACGCCTCATTCTGGGTAAAGGCTCTATACCATCTCAGCAATAAAGTTTTGTTTGTGATTTGTTCTTTAACGCCGCACTCAGCTTTATTCCAGCTACAGTAAAGTACGGTTATAACGAACTCAAAGGGACTACTAATTTTAGTTCGTTATAACCGTAGTTCGTTATAAGCATTTATACAGCGTAACTGCAGCAAATAGTCGAGACCAGCAAAGTAAGTTCGTTATATCCGTCAGTTCGTTATAAGCGTGTTCGTTATAACCGTAGTTTACTGTATATGACGGCTGAAGTAAATGATTGAATCAAGTGATTGACATCATAAACATCGATCTGGGCAATTGGGATACGATGACATGCATCAACCAAGTCAGAGGGCCTGACCACCCGATCCCGTTAGTCGCCTCTTACGTCAAACATAGTCGCCTATTACGGTCAGCAGTAAGGAGCGTCCTGTAGTACTTTGAAGATGTTGACGATGAGGAAGGCGGTGATGGCGCCAATCAACGCTCCAGTCTGCGTAAAGACTCCGTACCATATCATGGGGTTGCGACCGCCCTGTCGCAACCGACCAGCGATGGACACTTTAGCATAGGTGAGAAAAAAGGACGCTAATGCCCAGGATGTCACCTGAAAAACAAATTGTAGAGATTCAAACAGATTTATTGTAATGGGAATTTTGTGGATACTGTTTTTGTTTCGGCTACATGAGACGTTTCGTCCACCTTGACGAGGCTTTAAAAAAATATATCATGGTTTGTCAGATTTCTGTCTGGGTAAATACCAAATTGGTGTAGGACATGTTATTTATTCATGAGAGTGAGTATGGTTTTACGCCGCTTTTAGCAATATTCTAGCAATATCACGGCGGGGGACACCAGAAATGGGCTTCACACATTGTACCCATGTCGGGAATCGAACCCAGGTCTTCGACGTGACGAGTGAACGCTTTAACCACAAGGCTACCCGACCGTCCTTTATTTATGAGAACAGGTATGGATCACAAACCTGGTGAATCTAGGCTTCAATCCCATTGCCAGCATATCCTGGCGGTTTAAAGAGATGCAACTCACTCACTCACTCACTCACTCTCTCTCTCTCTCTCTCTCTCTCTCTCTCTCTCTCTCTCTCTCTCTCTCTCTCTCTCTCTCTCTCTCTCTCTCTCTCTCTCACTCAAGGCTTATATTATTTACCACAATGGCTCCCCCTGCCTCGATGCCGGTGAGGGGAGGATACGGACTCATGGCAGCCAGGACGATCAGATAGATGCCGAAGCCCGTCCCGCTGATGCTGAGGGCGGAGATGGGGATGGTAGATGTGACAGGCAACACGAGGCTGAAAAAGCAAGCTACAGGGTTGGCGATGTTGGTGATGATGGCCACGAGATGGTAGGTGTCGAGGCCATATGGGATGCTGGTGTAAGACTGCACGGACAGCAGGAAGCTTGTGATGAGCATGTTGATGACGATTGTCTGAGCCAGAAGGAACCAGAAGGTCGGCGTTGAGATCTTGCCTTGTTCTGGGTCTTTTATCAAGACCGTTTCCTTTGACGTCTCGCTGTTGGTCGTGTTTGTTGATTCATATTTAGGCTTGCATACAGTGTATGCGCCCTTACGGCCGTTTCCATTATCCGTGTCGGTCTCAAGCAGGTGGTTCGCAACCCGTTCCCTCTTGCAGTAAGGAAGGTAGTTCAGAAGAATGAACGATATCAGCGACACGATCATGAGGCCAAATAAAATAAGAAAGAAGACTTGGACCGAAAAACGGGGAGTTCCAAACGTTGGAAATATAGAAGGGACAGTTTCGTTGTACCAGGTCCCCTTAGTGAAGTTGGATGAGGTGTGACTTCCGTTGACGCAGCTGATACTCCCAGCGCCTTGACCAAGCGCTGTAAGTCCTGGAATCAGCCCACTGAGTCCCTCGCCGATAAAGAACGTTGGTAGATAGTGTGGCTTCAGGCTCGCCATGAAGGCCAGGAAGGCGAGGGACGAGGTGCAGTCCACCAGAGCCAGGATCAGGTTGAGGGCGAGCAGCGCTGTGGAGTGAGGCTCTCCTGCAACAATCGTCGTCTCCTTCCAGAAGAACGCCAGCAACATACAGGCGGCCATTCCTACGACTGAAGCAGATATGTCGTTATTAGGAGCAATAATTTCAAAAACATAAGTTGGGTTTTACTCGTTTTTTCCAAGGGAGTTAGTGAGTGGCTTTAACGCAATTTTGAACAGTATTGCAGTTATATCAGAGCGTGCTAGTTCGTTGGAGGAAATCCGATGTAACGAACCATGTAACTATCGAAAGAACCACGGAACTATAGTAACGAACCATGGAACTATAGTAAAGAACCACGGAACTATAGTAACGAACCACGGAACTATAGTAACGAACCACGGAACTATAGTAAAGAACCACGGAACTATAGTAACGAACCACGGATCTATAGTAACGAACCATGGAACTACAGTAAATAACCACGGAACTATAATAACGAACCATGGAACTATAGTAAAGAACCACGGAACTATAGTAACGAACCACGGAACTATAGTAACGAACCACGGAACTGTAGTAACGAACCAGGGATGTATAGTAACGAACCACGGAACTGTAGTAAAGAACCACGGACTGCAGTAACGAATCATGGAACTACAGTAAATAACCACGGAACTATAGTAACGAACAATGGAACTATAGTAAATAACCACGGAACTATAGTAACGAATCATGGAACTACAGTAAATATAACCACGGAACTATAGTAAAGAACCACGGAACTGTAGAAAAGAGCCACGGACTGTAGTAGTGAGTCAATGAGTTTGGTTTTACGCCGCCATTAGCAATATTCCAGCAATATCACGGCGGGGGACACCAGAATTGGGCTTCACACATTGTACCCATGTCGGGATTCGAACCCGGGTCTTCGGCGTGACGAGTGAACGCTTTAACCACTGGGCTACCCGACCGCCCCCCGGACTGTAGTAACGAACCACGGAACTATAGTAACGAACCACGGATCTATAGTAACGAACCATGGAGCTGTAGTAACGAACCACGGAACTACAGTAAATAACCACGGAACTATAGTAACGAATCGTGGAACTATAGTAAAGAACCACGGAACTGTAGAAACGAACCACGGAACTAGAGTAACGAACCAGGGATCTATGGTAACGAACCACGGAACTGTAGTAACGAACCACGGAACTAGAGTAACGAACCACGGATCTATAGTAACGAACCACGGAACTGTAGTAAAGAACCACGGACTGTAGTAACGAACCACGGATCTATAGTAACGAACCACGGAGCTGTAGTAACGAACCACGGAACTGTAGTAACGAAACACGGATCTATAGTAACGAACCACGGAACTGTAGTAACGAAACACGGAACTAGAGTAACGAACCACGGATCTATAGTAACGAACCACGGAACTGTAGTAACGAAACACGGAACTAGAGTAACGAACCACGGATCTATAGTAACGAACCACGGAACTGTAGTAACGAAACACGGAACTAGAGTAACGAATCACGGATCTATAGTAACGAACCACGGATCTATAGTAACGAACCACGGAACTAGAGTAACGAACCACGGAACTAGAGTAACGAACCACGGAACTAGAGTAACGAACCACGGAACTAGAGTAACGAACCACGGATCTATAGTAAAGAAACACGGAACTAGAGTAACGAAACACGGAACTAGAGTAACGAACCACGGATCTATAGTAACGAACCACGGAACTGTAGTAACGAACCACGGAACTAGAGTAACGAACCACGGATCTATAGTAACGAACAACGGATCTATAGTTACGAACCACGGAACTAGAGTAACGAACCACGGATCTATAGTTACGAACCACGGAACTAGAGTAACGAACCACGGATCTATAGTAACGAACCATGGAACTAGAGTAACGAACCACGGATCTATAGTAACGAACCACGCAACTAGAGTAACGAAACACGGAACTAGAGTAACAAACCACGGATCTATAGTAACGAACCACGGAACTGTAGTAACGAAACACGGAACTAGAGTAACGAACCACGGATCTATAGTAACGAACCACGGAACTATAGTAACGAAACACGGAACTAGAGTAACGAAACACGGAACTAGAGTAACGAATCACGGATCTATAGTAACGAACCACGGATCTATAGTAACGAACCACGGAACTAGAGTAACGAACCACGGAACTAGAGTAACGGACCACGGAACTGTAGTAACAAAACACGGAACTAGAGTAACGAATCACGGAACTAGAGTAACGAATCACGGATCTATAGTAACGAACCACGGATCTATAGTAACGAACCACGGAACTAGAGTAACGAACCACGGAACTAGAGTAACGAACCACGGAACTGTAGTAACGAAACACGGAACTAGAGTAACGAACCACGGATCTATAGTAACGAACCACGGAACTAGAGTAACGAATCACGGATCTATAGTAACGAACCACGGAGCTGTTGTAACGAACCACGGAGCTGTAGTAACGAACCACGGACCTATAGTAACGAACCACGGAACTGTAGTAACGAAACACGGATCTATAGTAACGAACCACGGATCTATAGTAACGAACCACGGACCTCGCACTTACCAATAATGAGCGCCGATACCGGGTTTTCTAATTTGGCATCTTTGTAGCAGTAAACAAGAACAGCAAATGTGATTGGTCCAATGTTGGCAATCTGACTGACGATGATGAGGTAGGATGGGAGGGTCCATCCCTCCGGCAGGGACGTCACCAGGAGCGGCAACTCCACCCACACCCCGTTGATGTCCACCCAGGAAGCGATGCCAAAACAACACACAAGGAAATGAACAAACAGTTTACTCTCGGAGAACAGCTTCCTCAGCCCCATCACTCAACCTAGTCATGTAACGGTAATATTTCAGTGAGCCGATTGTTCTCCGTATTGGACAATATTCACATTTACAGATCCACCTTAACGTAATGAGTGCAGTTCCTTTATTCAGACTCACGACCCTCCGCTGACCCCGTGAGGTCGTTACAGGCACGTCGATGACATGCGTAAGGTGGATTCAGTGTTGTCTGGTCGTGACCTCTCGTGCGTCTCCGGTATCGCCAATGACAGAGGGTGACCTGTCCAGGTGATTAACAGTTTATCAGATTACCTTGGCCTGTAATAAGATAAGGACGCTTCGTTATTCATGATTATGTAAAGAATTAATGCACATACATACTGTGAGCGTATCGCACACACTCATTGAATACGCTGGATAGTATAGCCACGGGTTGCAGCGCGATGTGCAAACACACCTCAGCTGCCACCGCACAACAGGACAGCCTGGATATAAGAACACAGGTAATGCCATTCATGACGGCAATGGAACTCGGGCTTCAGGTCACGACATAACGATTAACCTCTGGGCTATCCCACCATCGTAACAGGAAACCCGAACAGAAGATTGCAGGCTGTTCCTCATGCAGTAAATATCCCACCAAGCTTGTGGTTATACGTGACTTAATACACCATGATCATAATTATTGTCACTCCCCAGATATATGCGTGTTAGCATAGGGGCGACAATACTTATGAGCATGGGTCAAGTAACGGTACTACATGTTTATATTTGCTCTGTCGCTTAATTGATGGATTAAGTCCCGTTACCGACAACGTGACGCTCGAGATTGCATTACGGTGTAGATTAATAAAAGTTAACGGAGTGTATTTTTGATACTTTTGTAAAATATCTCATGAAAAATAGACTTATTCTTAGAACAAGTTAATTGATAAATTAACTGTAATTTTGGTACTTATTATTCTACGTAATGTTATTATCACACCATTCCCTATACCTCTCGGGGGCGGTCGGGTAGCCTAGTGATAAAAGCGTTCGCTCGTCACGCCGAAGACCCGGGTTCGATTCCCGACATGGGTACAATGTGTGAAGCCCATTTCTGGTGACCCCCGCCGTGATATTGCTGGAATATTTCTAAAGGCGGCGTAAAACCATACTCACTCACTATACCTCTCGCCATGTGAGTCTGTACAGGTTTATTGTAAAACAGCGGTAACTATCTTGAGAAGAAAGTGAGTGAGTGAGTGTGGTTTTACGCCGCTTTTAGAAATATTCCAGCAATATCACGGCGGGGGGACACCAGAAATGGGCTTCACACATTGTACCCATGTCGGGAATCGAACCCGGGTCTTCGGCGTGACGAGCGAACGCTTTAACCACTAGGCTACCCGACCGCCCCTTGAGAAGAAAGAAAACCGGTGTAGAAATCATATTTTATCCTCTCGGTGTCCATACGGCTTCACATATAAAGAAAGCACCAATAAATAGACAGTAAGCATTACAATGTCAATATTATACGTCACCATGTCTGGTCTGAGCTCCGTATCTGTAGTGAAATTCGTAACACAATACATGAGGCCTCTATGCAGGGCCTAGCTTCCTTGTTTGAACCCGCGGGCGTTCAGTTCTGTCAGACACACTTTACCCCGGCGGTTAATGGAGAATTAAGTTCATAAAATCTACCCGGCGTTCAAACGAGACCCGGCGTTTATTAGAGATCCGGCGTTTATTAGAGACCTGGCGTTCAGTCGAGGAAACAGGTAGACGCTATTTAAGACCAGCGTAGATTGCCGGGGTCCTGAACTAAGAATAGCCAGTCGACCCCAATCGGTCACGGGGTCATCCTTATACAACACGAACACGCAGAGAACGCTGGTTTTGATAACTAGGGACTAACTTGCCTTGTTCATGTTCAAAGTGCTTATAAGTAGTATAAACATATCCCGTAAACATTCCACTGTTTGTTACGACGTACGTACCCTGGGCTGTCTTCAATGTCATAGACGAGGCTGTGACACGGCCCTGATCGGCAATACACCTTCTGCTGATCGTGAAAAACCAGTGAAGCTTCCACGCCTTAAGATTTATTGTCGTAAACAGGTTACTAAGAGCAGGTGTCTTCTGCAGGGGTAAGTGTGTTCATTGTGCCGTTACGACCTGACCCAGCTCAATTTATTCGCTGTGTGCAGATCCACTGCCGCAGGAGTGGACTCAGGTTTGTGGACTCCACGCAGGTATTTGCGCACCTGTAAGGTTTTGTTTTGGTTCCTGTCATTGGGGTCAATATCAAACTTCCAAAATGGAGTAAGCGTGAGTGAGTTTGGTTAACTCCGCTTTCAACAGTAGTTTGGCGTGTCAGCTTAATGTGTGAGGAAAGCCCGAAGTGACCCAGGTCACAGAGGTTAACCACTTTGGTTAAAACCAACGTGCACGGGTATACCGACAAACCTAGAAACAAAAATCAGACGAACTGTGATTTGAACCCACAATCATAGGTTTCTGTCGTGCCGTAGACAACCGGGACACCCGTCTTCCTCTGGGGACACTGGATGGCAACTGTTTGTTGTGAACGATCTTTCACATCGCCATGCACATCGTACGCCGACAGAGTGGATAGCTATTCATAATATCAATCACTGATTGTCTGGTCTAAATTCGGTTATTTACAGGCCGCCGCCATATAGCGGGAATGCTAAAGTGTGGCGTTATACAACAAACAAATCGGTATGATTTCCGAATATTTCTAAGTTTACTTACCTGACACCTATAGGAGAGAGTCTGGTGTAGAGTTAAGTAGGATGTACCGCTGATGGACCGTGCCTGTGTCAAATTGCGGAACACGTCGCGAACACGTGATCTGAAGGACAGTCCGCAGTGAACGGGATACATACTTGTTGTGTTTGTTTGTTGTTTAACGCCGCACTCAGTAATATTCCATCTATATGACGGCGGTCTGAAAATAATCGAGTCTGGACCAGACAATCCAGTGATTGACATCATGAGCATCGATCCCCGCAATTGGGATGCGATGACATGCATCAACCAACTCAGAGCCTGACCACCAGATCCCGCTAGTCGCCTCTTACGACAAGCATGGGTTGCTGCAGACCTATTCTATCCCGGATCTTCACGGGTCTCGTAAATTCTGAACGTATTTACATGTGTCAAAATGCGGAACACGTCGCGAACACGTGGTCTGAAGGATAGTACGCAGTAAGCGGGATACAGTCTTGTGGCAAATAGAACATGGGTTTGTGTAAATACCTTAATGTATTGTACTTCTATTGAAAGACAGTAAACATGTCTAGTTTTTGCCGTAAATGTTTCAACGTGAATGTCGCTCATGACTTTGTTTGTACGTTTGTTTGTTGTTTAACGCCGCATTTGTCATGTTTTCAAACATTAATAATATTATTCTTCGGTAAAGTATAATATGTAACCACACCAGGTATTAGGTGAAGTGATAAGGGGTTAGTAATATCTTAAACAGCGACATATAGCACATACCTACTATCATATAGCAAGTACCCCCCTTTCACAAACCACAACCTGTAGTAAGTACCCTCCTTTCACAAACCACAACCTGTAGTAAGTACCCTCCTTTCACAAACCACAACCTGTAGCAAGTACCCTCCTTTCACAAACCACAACCTCTAGAAAGTACCCTCCTTTCACAAACCACAACCTGTAGCAAGTACCCTCCTTTCACAAACCACAACCTGCAGCAAGTACCCTCCTTTCACAAACCACAACCTGTAGCAAGTACCCTCCTTTCACAAACCACAACCTGTAGCAAGTACCCTTCTTTCACAAACCACAACCTGTAGCAAGTACCCTCCTTTCACAAACCACAACCTGTAGCAAGTACCCTCCTTTCACAAACCACAACCTGTAGCAAGTACCCTCCTTTCACAAACCACAACCTGTAGCAAGTACCCTCCTTCCACAAACCACAACCTGTAGCAAGTACCCTCCTTTCACAAACCACAACCTGTAGCAAGTACCCTCCTTTCACAAACCACAACCTGCAGCACGCATTATGCTTTCCGTGATCACATTGGTATTACACGTGTATTCTCAAAAACAGATGTCATACAAGAAATAAGTGGCATCGAATCACCAATTTCCTGAGGGATCAAATATAAACAGGTACATTAAGCGACATTTGCTATGTCATTAACTCACCGAGACTTGAAGAAGGCCTGAGTACCCTACTAGCAAGTACCCTCCTTTCACAAACCACAACCTGTAGCAAGTACCCTCCTTTCACAAACCACAACCTGTAGCAAGTACCCTCCTTTCACAAACCACAACATATAGCAAGTACCCTTCTTTCACAAACCACAACCTGTAGCAAGTACCCTCCTTTCACAAATCACAACCTGTAGCAAGTACCCTTCTTTCACAAACCACAACCTGTAGCAAGTACCCTCCTTTCACAAACCACAACCTGTAGCAAGTACCTTCCTTTCACAAACCACAACCTGTAGCAAGTACCCTCCTTTCACAAACCACAGCCTGTAGCAAGTACCCTACTTTCACAAACCACAACCTCTAGCAAGTACCCTCCTTTCACAAACCACAACCTGTAGCAAGTACCCTCCTTTCACAAACCACAACCTGTAGCAAGTACCCTCCTTTCACAAACCACAACATACAGCACGCATTATGCTTTCCGTGATCACATTGGTATTACACGTGTATTCTCAAAAACAGTTGTCATACAAGAAATAAGTGTTTGTGGCATAGAATCACCAATTTCCTGAGGGATTAATATAAACAGGTACATTAAGCGACATTTGCTATGTCATTAACTCACCGAGACTTGGAGAAGGCCTGAGTACCCTACTGGGCTGCCCGCAGTTCTCACACTCCACACGTCCCCCAGCTTCTGCAGGTTATGTGATTATGACAAGAGTGTGACATCACCGTGACAGATATAGCGGCGCGCTCGTATTAATCTATTAAACAAACATATCATATATAACCAGCCTATTAAAAAATGTACAGTGTCCTCGAGCTATACGTTCATTACATAGTTAATATAACACTGTTCTGATCTTTATACAGTAACATATGGAATGTTCATTGCATGACAAACCTATATTAATTTGGGACTGGCCGGGAAATGGAGTTTTGTGGCTTAGAGACACGATAATGTTTTTAGGACTTCGAGCATGTCCCGAAAAAAACCTACTTTTGTGTAAAATCTGAACATATTGGCGAAAGTTTAAACGGATGGCTAAATTTGAAGTATACATGACTACTTTCCTCTAATGGGTGTCTATCGTGCCTA